TGCAGCATAGACTGATAAGAACTTTTCGTTACTGGATTGTGAATTCAAATTGCACAAAATTAAAAATAATTAATATTTATTAATATTTTAATAATGTTTCAGGAATATTAAAATATAATACCTAGGTTTATTATATAAGTGGACATATAACCTCTATAGAATACTCCTGTAATATTAAAAAAATATTTATATTTTTAAAATATTATAATAACATTATTTTAATTTTTTTTTAATAATATTCATGTAACATTCTAGGAACATTTTGCGCTTATAGGTATATCATTGCACCTCGTCGCGATGAGGCTCTTTATTCGAACGTATGACACATTTACGTTCCGAGAATTTAATACAGCTCCCGGGAACAAAGAATGAGAGAATTAAATGACGCTCGAAATGGTCTAAACAAAGATCTCGTGATGAAAGCTCGACAGGCATTTTTCTTTTAGGGAGTGACAAAAATTGATTTTCAAAGCGACAGATATTATTTTTGTAATCATATATGCATTATAATAATTGACGCAAAGATATAATAGATTTACGATGTGAGCACCTTCAAAAAATAAAAACTGCGAGAACAATTGCCGCTTGTCAATTATTATAAAACTTCCTTTTTTCATGTATATTATTTATTATGGAAACAAAATTTTTCGGACAATATTTAGATCTATTCGTTTGGAATAAAAAAAATCGTTTCTATAATTGGTATTATTCTATTCTTGCCAGCTAAGCTTGCATTGTCTCTTTCATTTTCTCTATTTTTCTTCAATGTGAAGAGAGAAAGCGAAAAAATTAACCAGAAAAGAAATTCAATTATAAAAGAATACTCAGGTAGCACAAAGAGTCCGAAAAAATTTCACTTTTATATCATCAATTGTGAAGGTTTAGATCTAAAATAAGATATACTCTCTTTTTAGACTTTTTCTAATTCTTAATTTTGTATAATATAAGAGTAAATTATAACTTTTTGGTTTTTGTGCAAATTAAATTATTACTTTTATTAAAGATAACATATACAAATGTGCATATAAATATATTTCTATATATATTTCTTTTTAATTTTATTTCGAACAGATTGCGTTAATTCATAAAGAACTTAAGAAGGTGAATATTTTTCGAGTTCAAACGGATCAGTTGTGTTATTTAGGTTGGGGTTGATTGTGTATCTTAAAACGCGAGGGAAGTGAGTAAATTTATTAAATATTGACTAATAAAATTATAAATATTTTAGTAAATTTTCGCTCGTTTTTGTATTTTTCATCTCGTTTCAAAATACATACAGAATGCTTTCTATTCAGTGACACAAGTCGTCACAAGTGTCGTTCTATCTTTTGTTCGTTACTCATTGAACGTCAAGAACGATAGAATGATGTTTGTGTCGACTAGTATCGCTAACAATAAGATCCGATTGCACTAACATTACTTTGACTATAAGCGAATCTCAAAACTCTCCCTTTCTCTCTCTCTCTCTCTCTCTCCCTTTTCAAAGCCGAGAAAGCGACAGAGAAAGAAGAAGAGAGTTTTAAGCCTCGCTTAAAGATAA